TATATATATATATATATACACACATATAAATATATATGTGTATATATGTATATATAGTGCACACGTATTCATATATATTCCTTGTATATATATTTCATGCATTGTTTATTTGTCTTTCCTCTGCATCATTCGCACACACAACACGGGGCATTTGTTGTGCTTGTAGATAATTTAAACAGTTAACATTGTAGATAGTTGGGAAGTTAGATAAATGTGTGGATAGTTAGTTGGATAGGTAGATAAATAGCTAGAAATATTTGTTGGGTTTCCCACAAATGGCCAACTTATACACTTTAGTTTGTTTTGCTTTTATCCAGGTATTCGAGCGCATATTACCCGGCTTTGTTCGGTTTTGTTTGTCTGTTTGTCTTTTATCCAAGTATTCTAGCGCATATTACCCGGCTTTCTTCGGGCTAAGATGCCGCAGCGCATATTTTACATAGATATTTTAAAATGAGTCTTTGTCTACACTAGACACAAATATTAAATATTACAAATGGAGTTTGAAGTTAAGCGGAAGAAACTAAGTTTATCTCCCTTGACTCCGTTTCAGGTTCATGTACATATGTGGTTTGATCATATCTTAAGTCCTATTCTACACATGCTTATCTCTAAATAGAATATATGCTGCTTCGCTTCAGATTTATATACAAATATATATATCCCTGTCCAGGATTAATACGTAGTTCGTTTCGTTAAGCTTAGTTTTATCGAAATTTTTTGATAGTCGAATGATTAAGATAATCAAATTATCTATTATAATATAGTTTACCAACACTGACAGAAAAATTTTTAACACTACATGCTAACTTATTAATATCTAAAGAAGTTTTCAACACTTTTTAAGAATACTATACATATTAAAGCTTAAAGTTGAAGCTCGATTTATGGGCCAGATTTTGCATTATGGCATCAATTCGCAGAACTTACTGCAGACGAGCTTTACCAACACTATCTCAATGATATCTAGAGGAGTTCACAACACTTTAAAGAATGTTGCCTAATCGAACATATGTATTAAAACTGAAAGATCAGCTAATAAAAGCGCTGCTTCGGGCTGCTAAAACATTCTGCCAAAAATAAATAAATCTCTGAGCTTTTTTCTGGCGATCTTTAAGCCACTTACCAACACTGCGCGCACAAATGCATTAACGTTTCGATAAACAACCAGTTTTGCTTACTTTTTTTTTCTTTTTTTGCAGATAAGACAACATAAGTTAGATAAGATAGGAGCAGAACGGGCAGCTTGAAGATCTGCAGATAAAGCGCGCCACGAATTATGAGCGCAACGCAAAATTGTCACATAAATCAGCTGTGGCAGTGGCAGTACCAGTGGCTGTTGCAGTAGCATTAGCTGTGGCAGTGGCTGTGGCAGTGGAAGCGATGCCAGCAGATCGAAGCAGGCCTAATGTTTCCGGCTTTCGGAGCTGGGACAATGTCTTATCTGCTGGCTGCGCAACTGCTGCAGGTAACGTGGCATAAAGACCAACAACGGGCGCTGCCAAATGCCACACACACACACACACACACACACACACACACACACACAGGCACGCAGGCACACACACGTAGGCGGAATTTGGGTGGGTCGACCAGTGGCCCGCAGCAGGTGCCACACACATGGAGTCGGTCGCAGGAGCTCTGTGCACTGTGTACTTTCAACTTGAAAACGATTAATAGCTGGCCAAGCCCGAGTCTGGCGCCTAGAACCCTTTCCCACCCCACCCGGCCCCCCGATTATGACCGTGTCCTCCCTCGCCCTGGTTGCGGGCTTTCGGCCTCGGCCTCGGCCTCGGCTTCAGCCTCGCCTTTGTCTATGCAAACACAGCGCACAGCGCACAGCACAATGAAGCTGCTGCCGATAAAAATCCTCACCTCAAGCGCTCAGCCAAACGCCGCCGCCACCTCTATCGCCACCATCTCGCCCGCTCCACCCCCCCCCCCCTCAATTACAGAGAGCTGGTCACTCTGCATATGCGTTGAACAATTCGGGGGCGGGGGTGTGAGCGTGTGTAATGCGATAAAAAGCTATATGGAACTGCACACAAAAAAAAAACAGCAGAAGAAATATACATCAACCAGACAGTCAGGAAGCGTAAAGGCGAGAGAGAGGGAGAGAGAGAGAGAGATAGCGCGAGTGAGAGAGACAGCAAGCTGGTCGGAAGAGCCAGAGTGAGGGCGAAAACAGAGCAGCAAAAAAAATCGTTAGGTTCGACATTTGACTGCCTCGGCCTGGTCAGAGGTAAAGGCGAAACCAAAACCAGAGCCAGAGCCAGAGCCTGGTGTGCAACAGCCTCGAGGAGCGAAACAGCAGCAACAACAACAACAACAACAACAGCAAGAACAACGGCAACAGGAACAACAACAAGAAGGACGCATAGGACACAGAGACGCGCATCCAATCAGCAGGCATATGCTAACGGCACGGGGTGTGGCCAACAATTTGGCCACCCTATAAAAAGGGTTAAGGCCTCGCATGCACTCGCACCCGCATCAGCCGCAACAGTCACCCACAACACCACACCCCACCCCATCCCAGCCCACCCCCTGTGACCAGCCCTTGAGAGCCCAAACCGCCCACACAATGGCATGATTGACAACTGCACTCAAAGGACCAGCAGGGCAGACAGTCCAGCTCCTCTTCTGTAAGCTCCTTTTTTGCTATTCTGTAATTCTGGGCAACTATAATAAAAGAACTCAAAAAAAGTTCAGGTTGATGATAGACTTCTAATTAGAGAATAAATTCAGAATTTTTCCCAGACAACTTCCATATTTAGACAAATGTCCACTTAGATTAATTTTAGTTAGACAAACAAAAACATATTGATAATTTTTTATCAAATTTATCAAGGGTTTTCCCTTTACTGTTATTAGGTTTACTGTTATTAGGTTTTTTTTTTTTCCTATCTGAAAAATTAATTTTCCGAATTTTCCATTTAAAGTTTTTGTGATTAAAATGCTTTTTTATTAAATTTCTAATCTTAAACTGTTTTTCGAATTTATCACAGGTTTTCCTCCATTTTTTTTCGTATTTATATTTTTGTTAGTTTTAAAATTGTCTAGCTGAAAAATTTGTTTTCCGAATTTGTCAGAGGTGTTCGCTTTTTTTCAGATTTTTGCTTAATTTTCAATCTGAAATATTTGTATTTTGAATGAAGCTAAGTTTTTCTCCTTACTGTTTTGAGCCTACATATTTTTCTTTTTATAACTTTCAATCTGAATAAGTTTTTCGATTTTTTAAAAATTTTCCATTAAAGTTTCAGGTAACATTTTTTTTTATTTTAAAGCTGAAAAAATTTTTCAGAAATTTTCCGAATTTTCCCATTAAGGTATTTGGAATAAAATTTTTTTGTAAAGTTCCAATCCGAAAAACAAGTTTTCCGAATTTATCAGAATTTGCCCATTGTTTGTTTTGGGATTGAATTTTTTTAATTTGTAATCTGAAAAAAATGGTTTGAACCGAGCAAATGTTTCTTGTATACATTTGGTTGAATTATTTCGGGATCACATTTTTTTTTTTTTTGTCATTTTTAAAGTTCTGCTTTTCATTTTTCAATTTTCTTAGTATTTTGGATATTTTTTTTTTTAAATGCCCAACCTGAAAAATAAATTTTCCGAAAAATTCATTAGAATTTGACCAGTATTGGAAAAAGAATCATGTTTTTAATTTTAAATCTGAAAAATTTGATTTCCGAATCAAGCAAAGGTTTCTCTTTACTGTTTTTGGGACTACATTTTTTTCTTTTTATCATTTTTAATCCGAATTAGTTTTCCGAATTTGTCATTTTTGCATTTTTTTCCTTTTTTAATTTCTCAAAAGAAATATTTTCCGACTTTCCACTTGCTGCTTTTGGGTTTAAAATTTGTACTTAAAGTTGCAAGCTTAAATTTTAAATATTTTCGTTAAATATTAAAACAAAAAAATTGAATCAAGAGTTTCCAAAGTCCGTTCGAAATTCCGCAGCTTTCCAGCTTGGTGTGGACTCCATTTGAAGAGGCGTCAAGCTCAAGAGGCGGCAGACACTTAATTTAAGCTTTAAATTTAAAGACCCGTTACGACTTGAATTAAAAATAAAACCAGCAAAATGAATTATTTTTATTTATTTATTATTTACGTGTGTAAAGTACTAATTCCATAAAAGGCTCGTTTTTTCTTATCATTGATGTCTCGTACACATTGATAAAAAAGCTGAGGAACCGGAGCCCAATCTCGGCAGCAGGCTAATAGAAATATCAAAAGGAAATTTCGCATGACAAATAAAAGAAATGCAAGAAGCCACAAAATGCGACTCGGAATTTTTTTGGAAATTCTACGTTTATGAACAATTTGATTTGCCGATTGGTTCGGTTCCCCTAAAGCAAATGTTTATACTATATAAACGGCACTATTACTCACATATGTATGTACGAACAACGTTAATATCAAATGTCAATATATATATATATATATTTTGTTTTCATGTAGTATATTGTTCTCTACTCGCTGAACTATTTCCGTGTGTGTTTGAAGTTTCCCTGGATATTAAGAGAGGGCGTTTTTTGTAGAACTCCATATGCCTGGGTTTTCTATTATTGTATACAACATTTACGGAGTTCCATATGAGGTTTTCTTTGATCTATTGTTTTATTTTTTTATTTTTAGTGGAGCATGTTGTTTGCCTTATAACATAGTTTATTATTATTATATCATAATCAACTGCAGCATAATCAGAGCGGCCTTCTCTGCACATCAAGCGAGCCGCACAGCAAATATATATATATATATATATATATATATATGTATATATAAAGATCTGCGTTTATATCTTATATGAATTTTGTTTGCTTTTGTTTCGCTTCCATTTCGTTTGTTGTTCTGTTTGCAATATTTTTTTTTTGCCCCACCCCTTTTGTCCCCCCCCCCCCCTCCCCAGCCAGGCACCAAGAGCCACCCAACCCACCCAATCGCATCCGCACATTTGGCAGCTGCGTCCCCCCGCCCACTTGCCCGCCCCCCCCCCCTCCCCCCATAATGCGCTTCAGTCTTCGACCGCATACTTTTGAGTCCATTCGCGGGCATTGCGTATGGCCTCCGCCTCGTTGACCTTCCACAATTCGGCCACATCGTTGGCCAGCGGATCATCGGGATTGGGTGCGCTGAGCAGGGCCTGAATGGACAACAGAATGGTGCGTATTTGGAGGGCCGGACTCCACTTGTCCTTCAGCACGTCCAGACAGATGCGGCCCAAACGATCGATGTTCGGATGATAGATCTTTGTGATGAAGCGCACCTTGGGCGCCGACATTGGATAGTCTTCGGGCAGAAAGAGCTCCAGCTTAAAGATGCCGCCCTCGAAGGGCGAATCGTTCGGACCGGTGACAATCACATGGAAATAGCGTGCATTATTCTCATCGGGTATCGCATTGATGCCCGGCACCGGTTCCAGCATCAGGCGCTGCGTCTCCTTAATAATGCGACGTGGCAGACCGGACATCCTCTTGCTGCTGCTGCTGCTGCTGCTGCTGCTGCTGTCTCTTCTTCTGCTTCTTCTTGTTGCTGTTGTTGTGCTCTGAAAATGGCAAAAGAGCGTGAAAGCGTGAAAATTGAGAGTCTCACAAAGTTCCTGCTGCTGTTGTTGTTGTTATTGTTGTGGTTCTAGAGTGTATTTCAAGGACGTGTGTTTGGTGTGCGTATGTGTGTGCGTATGGGTGTGGCAGGTGTGGCACGTTCCTGGACTCGCTGCCACCTTCTTCGACTTTCGCTTTCACCAAACGGCAAAAAGTTTGCGCTGCTGCATTTTATTGCAGCAGCTGCAAGATACAAATGCGATGCCACAGATCCAGATACAAGCGACATGTGTGTGTGCGTGTGTGTGTGTGTGTGACTTTCCTGTGTGTGTGCAGTCCACAAGTCTAAGGCAACAATTAAACAACTATCTGTAGATTTGCATTTGGCGGCAGCAACAAGTATTAAGCGTTGACAGCAAAGTGCACTTGGTCGACTAGCAGATACCCTAAGTTAAGCAGCATTAAAGCTATTCTGTTTTTTTTTTATTATTGACATTCTTTTCACCCATTTTCCGCCCGAAAAATTTAAATCTAGCCGTTTAACCCTACGGATGAAAAACAATATGTTTCTCGCATTTTTCCAGATTTCAAAAATCGTTGAAGCACGTCTCAAATCGATTTTCATAAAGTTCATCAAAATTTAGTTTGAATCCCATCGAATAGATCCCTCAAAATGTTCATAAAATCGTGTACCACATTTGCCGTGAAATGGTTTACAGGTTGAATAAGTTGATTGAAGACGTTTTTGAACAATTTTAAAAATTTACAGCTGTTAATTATCCCTGCGATCGCCTTGTGTCCTTTCTTTTTAAATCATATAAATTTCATTTAATTTGTTGTTTACGAAAATCCATTCGAAAATATTTCCACTGCCGCAAAATGGGTGAAAATATATATTATATTTCACGAGATAAAAAACTTGGCCCGGGCAAGGCCGGGTAATGTCCGCTATGTGTGTTCGCTTACGAAATGCTGACCAAATTTGCTTCCCCTATTCTATATGTATCTAAATATGAATGATTCTATATATGCGTGTATGTATGTGTGCATACATATGCATTAATATATGTATCTATGTACATATGTATGTACGCATTTATGTACACAACATTTGTGTACGTATATGTATATGTATGTATGCATATGTATGTACACAATATTTGTATGTGTATATGTATATGTATGTATCTATGTAGTACATACATATATATATTTGCACACAATATGTGTATGTATCTATTTATGCATGTATGTAAATATATATGTAAAAATGAATCTAAATAGGCCTTGGCTCAAAAAATCAATAAGAGATACATATCTTAGTCTGGCTAAAGCCCAAGTCAAAATCTTGCAATTACAAATCTTCTCACAGTTGGTTAAGAGTCTTTCCAGCTATGAGTTAAGTAGCTCTAAGAATGGAAATTTCGAGCTATGAATTCGTAACTAAACAAAAGAGAAGTCGAGTTTAGGATCTCTGGTATTAATAAGGCAAGGCTCGCTTCTTGTTTAAGACAAGACCGATTACTTTAAGCCAATTCGGATTGTACTAAAAAACATCCACAGGCAGGACTCAAATTTAATTACATTCTATTTAATTGCCTGTAAGTTTTTTTAATGTTCAAATTTTCTATATTTCAGTTAATGTTTTGTTAAAACAACAAAAAAAAAGCTTGCGGAATGCACGTAAAACCTGAAGCGTGTATAACTCTAATTGCTACATAACCCCATTTGACTGCCAAGATGTGTGTGTGTGTGTGTGTGTGTGCCTAATTTAAAGACCTGCTCGGCAATAACGCACATGCAGAGGAATAAAAACAACAAGAGCACAATTCAAATGCGCCGCGCACCGCACGCAGCATTGTGTGCAACGCGTGGCGCTTAAATGCAGCGCACAAAAAGCTGAAATATTTAAGAACATGCCAGAAGGCTGCCAAAAGCAACAGCAACAACAACAACAACAACAACCGCTAATTATCAGCTTGAATGGCACGAAAACGAAAGAGAACAACAACAACATCAACAACAACGACGACTAAAAGGAATGTATAATTTGGTGCTGGCATGTGAGTGCTTTGTTTTCCAGTGTGTATATTTATTTTTATTTTAAAATTTATTGATTTCTTGGCGACATACGCTCGCACAAACACACGCACACACGGCAAAAGCCGCTACACACACATGCCGACTGTAAGAAGAAGAAAAAAAAGTATGAAGGTTGGGTATAGCGGCGGGGTGAGGGGCCTAGCGGCAACATTTGTCACGCACGTTGTATGAAAAATCAATAACAATATGAAGCCAGCTAAAGTTAAGCAACAGAAATTAAATTAAAGAACTAAAACTGAAATTAGCTGCCAAATTATCGCACACACGCACACACACACACACACAAGCTCAGCGAAACGCAAGAATGATGGACAAAGAAAGCTGCAAAGGCGTACGCAGTTTTCTGATTCTTTTTCTGTTTTTTTTTTTTTTTCGGCAATTGTGAGTTTATTAAAAAGCAACTTACCTATTCGCACACACACACACACACACGGGCACACGCACAAAGATAAGACAAGTGCGTGGTTAAAACGTATGCAGAAATATATTTTAGTCAATCCTTTTTGCGTTGCTGCTGCAATTGTTGTTGTTGTTCTTGCACTTGCACTGAACGAAGGGAACGCAACATAAAATTAAAACAAAAAAAAAAGTTGTATGACAAGCACCGGAAAAAAATGAAAGCACAGTTGTGCAGTTGAATTGCTCACATTTACTCAGCGCTGCACACAAATACAAATAACTAAATACACCACACACTATTTGAGTATTTTGTAATAACAAATTTCTTCACAGAATTTCGCTGGCTCTTTTTTTTACAGCTCCAGCAGCTCCCCAGCTCCGCACAAAATTGTGAACGTCGAAAAAAAATGTTCCACACACGTTTTGTTTGTGTTTGTGCATACGTGTGCGGCTGTCGTTTGCATGTGTTGTGTGCGTGTAAGCCGCTATGTCAGCGCCGCAGGGTTGCCAGATACTGCGCTGGGCGAGCGTTAAAAATTCTGCATTCGATTGCGGCCAAGCTCTTATAGCTAGAAGAAAACTTTTATTTTTCCCCGCTCATTTGGTAATTATTATTATAATTTGTGATATTTGCCAGCAGTAAGCAGCTTGTTAGTTTTTTGCTAACATATAAATGAAGGCCGTGTGCTGGCAACACTGCCGCTCATGGCAAGCAAATGTGTGCTATCGTCGTAGCAAGCAGCTTTGTGACATGTGTTTCCAAAGAATTTTGCAGCGTGCAGCTTTCGCTGTGCAGCATTTAAATGCCAATTGGAAGCAAATGCTTCATGTTGAATTGGCATACGCCGATTTCCGATCAGTACTTTATATTTTCTATATCTTTTTATAATTTAAGCATTAATTGCTGTAATGTGTTTTAATATAACAGAAAAGAGTTCTTAAAATTATGTTTTAAGCCATTTTTTAAAGGGAAAAATTAATACAAAATATTATTTCCTAATTAGAAGAGTTTCTAATTATGAGAGTGCTCGACAAAAATGTAAAACTAATATTAGGGCCCAATTTTAGCCCAATTAAGTTTTAAAAAATTGTCTGAATAATGATACAAAATAAATAATTAATAAAATATAATAAATAAAAAAATCAAAATAATTTCTCAGGAATAGAAACTCAGGATTAATTTTACAACAAATATCATTTAGAAATATTTTATTAAACAAATTGAGGAATATATTATCAATAATATTTTCAATTAATTCTCGAGAGTAACATATATAATATTATAATTAAAGGTACTGAATCTGTATTTAAATCAGAGAAAGATGTGTATCCTTTATTTATGAAAGACGCATACAAAAGATAAACACTTATTTAACTAGACTTTCAGTCCAAAGAGATATCGGCGTGAACTTTGCCCTGTTTTAAATCTATTGTTTTATTTTTCATACAATTTTCCAACAAAATTATATAAAGAGAAACATGTATTCCAATTGGAGTGATTGGAGTTATTCCAACTAAACTTAACCTCACTCTGCATGATCTCGGCATGAGCTCTGCCCTGATTTTATTTCTGCTATTTTGTTCATACAATTTTCGTACATATTAGAATAAAAGGTCTCTTGAATACCAAGAAACTTGAATTCCAATTGGATATGCCCGATATTCCAACTAAACCTAACCTCACTCTGAATGATCTCCGCAGACCTTTTAATACTGTAATTTTTTCATACAACATTTATACTGCATTTTCTTAGATATTTATTTACTAATTAGAATTAAAAAGGAACATGTATTCTGGTTGGAATGAATAAAGTAACACGTATTCTTCTTGTAGTATGCATTCTAGTTGGAAACATGCATTCTAGTTGGAGTTTTCAGTTATTCAACTAAACGTAACCTCACACCGCATGTCATGCACGCATATACATTTCCATTATCCTTTGCATTTGTATCCCTTACATGTATTCAAAAAACAACAACAACAACAACAAGTAAAAAAAACATAAAACTTTTCGGTCGTTTCTTGATATTCGAGCCATTGACGCGAACGTCTCTGTCGACGCAATCAACTCGTGCTGTTCAAATGCCGCACAGCAGCAGCAACAATTAGACACACATACATACGTATGTACATATATGTACATGCATGCACACGACTCTCCACACACACACACACACACACACACACTAACATTTGCGATACATATTTACACTGCGCCCCTCTGTTTGGTCATTTGCAATTGAACCAATACAACAACAACAACAATCACAACAACAACAGCTGCAACTGCTGACCATACATAGGCGCGCAGTCAACACACGCCCCCGCGCCGCCCCCAAACCAATAGCAACAACAACAACAACAACATTTTATTTCCCATTTTTTTTTTGTATACTTTTTTGTCGAAAAAGAAAAATGTGAAATTGTGTGTAATCAACATTTATGCGTTTTAACGCCCCCCGCACAGGCCATTGGGCAGTAGAGGAGGGGTTTGGCTTTGCCTGACACGCACGCACACACAGCAAAAGCTCACTAGCACACACACAAGCGCACAGGCGTATACACATGTGCAATGCCCAATGGACGCACAAGCAGCCGCACATACAAAAACGAGCCTCGCCACTAAAGCAACAACAGCAACAGCAACAACAACAACACCAACACAGCAGCCATGTGCAGTTGTACACACACACGTACACGCATGCACTCTCTCACACACACACACACACACACACACATACACACAGGCACACAGGCACACATGGAATCTGCTTTTAGGCTGGGCGACGGCGACTAGTTAGCCAGCACGAAAACCCAGCCCACTCAGCGTACGAGTCACACTCACACACACACACACACTCACACACAGCCACACACACACACCCCTCGGCTTGCGCGCCATATTCACAGTTTTGTGTGTGAGTGAGTGCATGAGAGCGAAAGAGAGCACGCGCGCATTACATTTGACTGTGCGCTCAGTTGCTGTCTCTGCATGCTGCAACTGCACGCGGCGCTGCTACGCAGCTGTTGGGCGACCTTTATTTGCTCTTGAGTTGCTTTGTGTTTGTTGTACTTGTTGTTGTTTTTGTTGTTTTTTTGTTGTTTTTTTTGTATGCAGCTGCTTTTACTACTTTTTACTACGGCTCCCCAAAGAGCCCAGCTGATTGCAATGTTATTCTTGTTGTTGCTGTTGTTGTTGTTGCTGCTGATGTGGCTTTTGCTTTTATTGTCGCTGTCGCTGTCGCTGCCGCTGCACGCATTTTAGGCGCACATTGCGCCGCTGCCAACGTCGCTGCCGGCGTTACAGTGTTCGCACATTTCTATAAATTTTAATGGCTGACAGTTTTCAATATGGCGCAGTTTACATTGCATTTTTTCCCTTCCCTTCCCTTCTTTTCTTTTCGGCCGCTTATCTATGAGGGTGGGTTGCCTTTGTTGTTGTTGCCTTTGTTGTTGTTGCTGTTGCTGTTGTTGCTGTTGCTGCAGTTGGTCTGAGGTTGAGGTTAAGTGGCTGCAAAACTGTGCAAAGTGTAAAATAACATTTTGTTCGCATTACAAGTGGATTTTTGGGTTAGGTACGCGCTCTGATACCATTTTGAGGTTATGTGCAAAAGTCACTTCCGTTAAATTGTTTACATTAAGTTTGGCTTGCTTATTTATTTTAATTAAAAGCATAGCCCTAAGTTGTTCCTACCTTTATCAATATTAATCCCTTTGACCTCTTGAAGAGGTCGTGGCATGCAATCGATCAAAGGTCGCAATGGGAAATTCGGAAGCTAGCAATTCCTTTCATTCTGGTTGAATTTATTTCAATATTTCTTTTCATTTATCTGTAAAAATCTTTACTTCCTCCTTCTCTCTCTAACTGAACCTCTAATGTGTGCCTAGAAAGGCAACTTGAAAATTTCTTTGCGTTTCAGAGTGTCAAAGTTCGTAAGCGTCATAAAAAAGCAATTTCTATTCACCTTCCTGTCATTAAAATGAGCTCTCATCGAACATAACCGCACATATTCTAACATAACCTTACAAGTTGTAACATAACCCAACAAATTCTAACGTTACCTCACACAATGTTACATAAGCTAACATACTTTAAAATAACCTCACATATTGCTAACAGAACCTAACATATTAAAACATAACCTCACATATTCTAACATACCACGACATATTCCAACATATTATTAAAATATTAAAATAATTTGAGATAACCTTACCTATTCTAACATATACCAACATAACCTGACAAATTCTAACATAACCCAAAATATTCTAACAAGACTCAGTATATTCTTACATAACCTAACATATTTCATAACATACATAACGTAATATAACCTTACACATTTCAACATAACCTTACAAGTTCAAACAGTAACTTCATAATCTAACAAAAACTAATATACCCCAATATATAAATATTCTCGCATAACCTAAGAATTTCTAACATAAGCTAACATATTTAACATAACACATTACACATTCTAACATAACCTAACAAATTCTAACAAAACGCAATCAATTTTAACATAGCTTAACATATTCTAACAGAATCTGTTAACAACTAACATATTCTTACATAACCTAACAAATTATAACATAACTTTACATATACAAGCGTAACCTCACAAATTTCAACATAACCTAACAACAATTCTCTTGAATTCACAATATATTTTCCTTGAGGAAAAGCACGAAAAATTCCATTTAACAGCTGCCGATTGTCAATTAAAATTAGAGTATAAATAGGTAACTTAAATAACCGTAACAATTTGAACTTCTTTCGCTTATCTAAGCTTTTCACAGAGTTAATGAAAGGACTTTGGCAAGGGGGGGGGGGGGGTGGGTGCATATATATTATTGTCTGTGGTATTGTTTAACTTGTGCGCTATTACTTTGTCCCATTTCAGTTGTTTGTGCCGCATTTGGGTGCAGCTGCAGCCTTGAGACAAATATCTCTGCGTATGTGTGTGCGTGTGTGTGTGTGTGTGTGTGTGTGTGTGTGTGTGTGTGTGTGCTGCAAAGTTGTTTTTCCCCTAATTTCTGTGGCCCCCACGCGCCTCGGTGCTTGGCTGCTTTCGCTTTTGCACCACAACGGGCGGCTATAAAAATATCATTTCTTGGCAAATCCACAGCGGAATCCTTGCCAAATGCCCGTACAATCTAACACTAGAACCCCCCCCTCCCTCCCCCCTCCCCCTACCTACCATCGAGTCCCCCCACAACCATCACCCGCTCAAGCAGCCGCCTGGCCGCCAGTCAAAGCATCTGAACAGCTTCATGGCGTCAGTTCATTAACATTGCCAGGCTCACTCTCCCTCTCTCACTCTTTCTCTCGCTCGCTCTCCCTCGCGCTCTTGCGCTCTTCATACATTTGTTTCATATCCAGCTGCATTTATGAAAACAACTTTTTGGTTAACCTATCCGCCCGCCG